TCTGGTAATATGGTCAAGCTGTCCCGTCAGACATACACTTTCTGGATGAGCAATGTAATGGATACTGCTCAGGTTCTTCCGTTGAATGAGTTGGAGCCTACTATATATGCCAGGTACTATGATGGCAATGAGCAAGACAGAGCAAGTCAGCCCTCACTGAGTTTGCGTTAAATAAGTTACTAAAATTAATATTGAGATAAGCACTGACAAGAAGCATGGGTGCTAAGACAGTCTATTACAGCACAGAAACCTGACACAGTTTAGACTAATAGATCTCTACCAGGGCTGCAAATCAGAATCACTCAGGTACAGTTTTTAACCACACCAAAGCCCAAGCCCAAACCCCAAATCAAACAAATCAGAACTCCGTGAACCCTGGCCATTGATTTTAAAAATCATTCACTACTCAGGTAATTCTAACATGCAGCCAAGATAGAGATCCACCAGTCTTGGGATTCACATGATAGGTGTTGGGACACAGAGGTCAATAATACAGTTCCTGCCTTCCAGGAGCTTACCACCTAGTGGAAGAGACCCAAGTAAGTAGAGGTATCAGCAAAATGTTCTTGGCATCATGGAGCAAAGAAACCTCATATACAAGATGGTGCTTCTCTGTCTACAAGGATGTGGAAGTGACCCCAGAAGCTTATATAAGTTGCTTTTACCTGTCAGCAAGGTTTAGTTTCTACAGATGAGTACTCAGGCACTGCATTATTCTTTACACTTTTTTATGTCTTAAATATTGCAGGTTTTTCTTTAATATTGTGTATTACAACCTATTAATGCTCAGACAGCCACACTAGAAGAAACAATGAAGTGTCAGTGCCAATACACAGAATTGTGTTGGTTATCATATTATTAACAATACTCAATTGTCATCAGTAGCACACTGTCAAAAATAATTTTTGAAACAGGTACAATTCCTGTTAAATACTGCAGGTTTTAAAAAATAAAAACTGCCTTTTTAGTGAAGCCATCATAGAAGTTATTTAAGTTTTAAAGCTTGATTAGGAAGAAGTTTTCTGAGGAAATGATCTTTTTTTTTCTTTAATATATCTTTATTGATTTCAGAGAAAGGAAAGGAGAGGGGGAGAGAGAGAGAAACATCAATGATGAGAGAGTCATTGATCGAGCCCGCAACCAGGGCATGTGCCCTGACCGGGAATCGAACCCCGATCGCCTGGATCCCAGGCCGACGCTCAACAGCTGAGCCACGCCCGGCTGGGCGATCTTTTTTCTTTTTAATCCTCACCCAAGGATATTTTTTCCATTCCTTTTCAGAGAGAG